CGGGTGCACCTCTTGCTTAACAATGAAAATTGTGCTGTAAGTTAAGGACTACCTGTTTAATTATTTTTGAGCAGGTGGATCTATGGCAGGCTTCCAGAAGGAGCATACATTTTCAGTGACAGGCATTCTTTATCTTGGATCCCACAGCTCTGCTTTTTTTCATTAAACAGGTTATACAGCCTGGAGGAAGAGAAGGATATCCGCATATTGTAAAACATAACAGTATTTTTTTTTAAAAAAAGTAAACTTTGTTAAGCAGTTCTTGGAAGAGCTTTCTGTTTAAATTTATTAGCCTTAGTAATGATAGATAAGTCCAGATATTAAATGCACACTGACTGAATTGGGGGAGGGGGGTGCACCCCAACATTTTTCAAACCTGTTGGCAGCATCTCCCCCAAATACAGGTAGAATAACAGAGTTGGAAGGGACCTTGGAGGTCTTCCAGTCCAACCCCTTGCTCAGGCAGGAAACCCTATACCAGTGATGGCTAACCTTTTTGCCATCGCGTGCCAGGAGAGGAGTGGGTGGGGGAGGGTTGCATGCGCACGTGCCCATGCAACCCCCCCCCCACCGCTCCTGGCACATGATGGCCTGGTAGGCCTGTTTTTCTTTCTTACCTGGTTCCAGATTCTCTCTATTTATCTGGGAAGGGTGAAAACAGCCTTTCTCACTCTCTCAGAGGCCCTCCAAAGGCCTGAAACGGCCTATTTCCCAACTCTCGGTGGGACAGGAAGCGACATTTTTTGCTGTCCCTAGCCTCCAGAGCCTCTCTAGGACTCTCTAGGAGCCTCTCTAGGAGTCTCTGGAGGCTGGGGACAGCAAAAGTCACTTCCTATCCCACCGGGAGTCGGGAAATGGGCCCTTTCAGCCTCCGTAGGGCCTCCAAGGGAGTGGAAAAGGCTGTTTTCGCTCTTCCCAGATAAATAGAGAGGATCTGGAGCCAGGTAAGAAAGAAAAACGGGCCTTCCCCAACCTCCCCAGGCCCTCCAGAGCAGGAAACAGCCTGTTTCCCTACTTCTGGTGGGCGCAGAAGGCCCGAAAATCAGCTGGCCAGTGTGGCATGCGCCCCAGAGCTGAGCTGGTGTGCCCACTGATATGGCTCCGCGTGCCGCCTGTGGCACGCGTGCCATAGGTTCGCCATCACGGCCCTATACCATTTCAGACAAATGGTTGTCCAATCTCTTCTTGAAAACCTCCAATGTTGAAGCACCCCCAATTTGTGGTGACAAGTTGTTCCACTAATTAATTGTTTGAACTGTCAGGAAATTTCTCCTTAGTTCCAGGTTGCTTCTCTCCTTGATTAGAATCCATCTGCAATTCAAAACGCACTGACAATGTTTCTTGAATGGTGATGAAACATTTGCAACCAAATTGCGAAGCTCGGAGCTCAAACCAACACCCTATCATCCATCTGTAGCTTCTTGTCCTGCCTTCAGATGCTTTGGAGAATAGATGTAGCAGCCCCTGAGATATTGGAAGACTGCTATCATGTCTCCCCTAGTCCTTCTTTTCATTAAACTAGAAATACCCATTTTTTGCAACCATTCTTCGTATGTTTTAGCCTCCAGTCCCCTAATAAGATAGTCCTCAAGTTACAATCATTTTCTTAATGACCGTCCAGACTCCAAAGTTTATTTCAAGACTGAAAAAATTGAGTTACAACTGGTCTGTAGACTTGTAACCATCACAGCAACCTCAAGGTTATATCCTCAAAATTTGGGTGCTTGGCAACTGGCATGTATTTATGACGGTTGCCGCCTTATGTGATCGCCATTTGTGACCCTTCCCAATTGATTTTCAATAACCAAAGTCAATGGGGGAAGCTGGAATTACTTAACAACATTGGATTCACTTAACAACTGTACTGATTTGCTTAACATCGTGACAAATAAGGTTGCAAAATTGGCCATGACTCACTTATCAATGCCATGTAGCAATTGTCAGTGGTGGGTTGCCCCTGGTTCGGACCGGTTCTATAGAACCAGTAGTAAAACTGGCAGGAGGCTCTGCCCACCGACCCCAACGTCATCAGGACACTTCTGTACATGTGGCCTCATTGCGAACCGGTAGTAAAGGTAAGTAGAACCCACCCCTGGCAATTGTGGTTGTAAATCGAGGACCACCTGTAGGACAGTCTACTGCAGGAGTGTCAAACTCGCTTTCTTTGAGGGCTGCATCAGGATTGTGTTTTATCTCGGGGGGCCAGGGTGGGCAGGGCCAAGGTGGGCATGGCCAACTCAATGTCACTCATTTCGGGGGTGCCTCTGGTGGCCTGAGCTCTCTGCCAGTGAAAATGGGCTCCCGAGCTCCGTTTTTGGCTGCGACAGCCTTCTGCAACTCTCTGTTCTGTCCCCGTCTCACACACACACACAAACAGTCAGCCAGGAGTTAAATAAACTTGCAGACAATAATTTCCTTCGATAACAGGATTGGCAGCAACCCAGTAGCTGCTTGCCAAAAACTTTACTCACAAAGGGAAGTTTTCCTCCTCCGTCAGATAAACCAAAATAAATTCACAAAGCCAAAGAATTGTCAAGTCCAGTCCATAATAAATCCAAGGAAGGCAGATAACGAAGTTTCAGAGACACAGTATGACTTGCTAGCTGTTCAGTTTTGTCCGTCACAAAGCCTGAATGGCCACCACACCCCCTTTTATCCCCTGTGGGGTGTGGTCCAGTGACTCAGCTTAATCTCTGGCACGCCGCCTTCTCTGCTGCGTGCGCTTGTCTTTCCGACACTGGCGGGGAACCAGCCAAGACTTATCTCCGTCGCTGTCTAACTGCGGCTGCTCGGAGATGCCTGGCTCCTGGCCTATCACTTCTCCTTCGGGAGACACCTGAGGCATTGCCAGAGAGGAGGGTCCTGGAGAGGGAGGCCTTGCCAACTCCTCTCCTTCACTTTCGGAGTCTTCTCCCTCCAATAAGACGGGCTCGGGGGTCGGAGTCACAACACTCTCTGCCAGCGAAAACAGAGCTCAGGAGGGCCGCATGGAACCCTCTGGAGCTCCATTTTCTCTGGCAGAGGCACGGCAGGCCACTCCTTTGCTGTTTCCAGGGTGTCCCCGTGGGCCAAATCTAAGCACCCCGTCAGCTGTATCTGACCCCCAGGCCTTGATCTACCGATATGTTAGTAGCAAAGCCTGGCTTGGAAAGCTAGTTTGTAGTAAATTGATTTACAGCGCTTGCTGTTTGAAAAAGTGCAATATAAAAGACTTACATTTCTTTGTTTTCCCAAATAGCATGGGGACAGTGCTTTGTAATCATCCTCATTCATTGAGGGGGAATTATACAATTGTTGTACGATTATTATTAGATCTGCTGTGAGTTGGACTTTAACTGTGCAGGTTTTATGCAGCTGACTAAAGCACAATCTGGCCGATTATCTGCAAAGAATTTGAGCATGCTGGTACAGAGGCAGTAGACAAGGACCTTAAGGTGGCTAATGAGCCTCCCTATGTTTTAGGTCCATGTCCCTTCTGGTTGGCTAAGGTCTCCAGGGAGATGAGATGGTTGGATCATTACACCGGTGAATGCATCCTGCAGAGAGGGAATGGCCCTGCCAGCAATTAAAGAGACCCATCCCTAATTCACCTCTTTCTCGAGAAGCTACTACTGGTGTCAGCACTATTGGACAATTTTTGCCCTCTCCTCAATCCTTCCTCTTTAGTGAAGACCATTCAGATGATAGTTGGATTGTAGGTCTAGAAGATCCTGAGGAAAACAGTTTCCTTTCAGTGAGTTTAGTACTGTAATGGCATTGATTACATTTGTGTAAGATCACTGGTGGAACTGGGAGGGGAGTGGTGCATCCATCACAGTGTCCTTCTGGACTGGCTCAGAAGACTGTGAGGGGAGCCATGGTGGTGATCCTTCTTCCTCAGGTCAGTTCCAGTTGATGATGGTGGGTTGAGGAGAAAGGTCTACCCATAGACTCATGCTTGATGAGCTGCCTCAGGCTCCTCATCTTCTATATGAAGTTGCTGGGTGAGGTCATTTGTAGGCAGATACGAAGTAACATCGGTATGCTTATAATAGTCAGTTGTACATATTTGCCCCTAGCTAAGGGATGCCATCAAGATCCTTTCTCAGTGCCTGGAGGCCATGGGTGCCTCGGTGAGGAAAAACAGGCTTTGGCTCACTTCCAGGAAAGCCAGGTGCTGAGGGCATATATGACCACTTCTGAACCTAGATGAAGAGATTTCCCATCATTATTTCTAGAGAGGAGTGCATTCCCCACTCAAAACGAGCCGACAGTTCAAGCATCCTCCTGGATTTATGGTTCGTGTTTAAGAAGCAATGACCAAAGAGGCAGAATGACAACTTGCGTTCTAAGTGCACCTTTTCCTGAGTCACCTCTCTCTTTCTGTCACACAAGACTTGTGTTATTTATTCACGTATTTATTAAATTTCTACACTGAAAAGTTGGGGCTCACCTTGCTTCTGGTGTGTGTGTGTGTATGTGTGTGTGTGTGTGTGTGTATATGTGAAATGTTCCACAGATTGGAGACAGAAGCTGAGAAAGCCCCCCTCCTAGATCCTGCCAGTTGGAACTCCTTGACTGATGGGATATATAATATAATATTTTGTTCCTGTTGCTCAATTACATAATATTTATTTCTCATCCTTGTCCACAAATACAGGTGGTCCTCAACTTACAACCACAACTGAGCCCAAAATTTCTATGGTTAAGTGAGGCACTTGTTAAATGAGTTTTGTCCCGTTTTACGACTTTTCTTGCCACAGTTCTTAAGTGAATCACTTCAGTTGCCAAGTTAGTAACCCAGTGGTTAAATGAATCTGGCTTGCCCATTGACTTTGCTTGTGGGAAGGTTGCAAAAAAGTGATCACGTGATCTTGGGACACAGCAACAGTCATAGATATGAATTAGTTGCCAAGCATGTGAATTCGGATCACATGATCATGGGGTTGCTGCAAAGGTCGTAACTGAAAAACTGCCATAAGTCACATTTTTCAGTGCCTTTGTAACAAGAGGTGGGATTCAGCCGGTTCAGCCCAGTTCGGTCAAACCAGTAGTGGCGACTGCAGGAGGCTCCGCCCACCCGCCCGGACATAATGCGTGAGCAAAGAGCATGTGTGGAAGGCCATGCTCACATTTGCGAACCGGTAGGGAAGGTAAGTGAATCCCACCTCTAGTTGTAACGGTCACTAAATGAACTGTTGTAAGTTGATGATTACCTGTATTAGACATAGACTTAAAAGAAACATTATGTGCACATTTGAACATAACAAATGAAGTGAAGTAGGACTAGGGGCCTCCTTTTTCAACTGTCTGTTACTCGTTGGTTTAATTTGCAGGTTCTGTGCATGGCGAAACCTGAGAACTTTTATATGCAAAAGACAGATTCTTCCTTTGAGCTAAATGGCTATAATCATATGCATGCTTGAACTCCATGAGACTTGAGTAGAGATGTCTCAACCTGCATGGTTAACCTTCCTTAAGTCCAGAGATATTTTAAATGTACCTTCTCACTCACACTCTGTGGGCTGGGCTTATCAAAAATCCCAACAGGCAGATATTAAATATTGAATTGCTAATGAATTCACATTAAGATCAAACAGAAAGATCATGGTGTTCCAGAACTGAAGCAGTTGGCATCCCAATTTGTTCCTTTTATATTAATCAATTGCCTTTGATAGAATTAATCAGAAGGTTTGTACTGGAACAAACCAGCTTAAATGAAAAAGGGACCAAGAGGCGTTCCTGGAGACCATCCAGGATGAGCCATTTCAGCATTTTCCATCCTTGGGTCTATGCAGGTAGTTCTCGACTTACGACCACAATTAAGCCCCAAGTTTTTGTTGTTAAGTAAGAATAGTTGTTAAGGGAGTTTTGCCACTTTTTCTTGCCACAGTTCTTAAGTGAATCTGGCTTCACACATTGACTGTTTGTTAGAAGGCCATGCATGGTGATCACATGACCCTGGGATGGTCATAAATATTAGTCAGTTGCCAAATGTTTGAATTTTGATCATATGACCATGGGGATGATGCAACAGTTGTAAGGGTGAAATTGTTCTGTCAGGAAATTTCTCCTTAATTCTAGGTTGTATCTCTCCTTGATAAGTTTCACTCTGTTGCTTATTAGAATTAGAATTCTTTATTGGTTAAGTGTGATTAGACACACTAGGAATTTGTCTCCGGTGCAAAAGCTCTCAGTGTACATTCTTGTCTTGTCTTCAGGTGTTTTGGAGAAAAGCTTGACTCCCTCCTCTTTGTGGCAGGCCCTTAGATATTGGAAGGCTGCTATCATGTCACCCCAGCCCATCTTTTCATTAAACTTGACATGCCCAATTCCTGCAACTGTTGTTCATATGTTTTAGACTCCAGTCCCCTAATCATCTAATGCAGCTATCCCTCCTTTTAGATTCCTTTTAGAGTTTTGTTTTTATATATACTTTTCAGTGGTGGGATTTAAATTTTTTTACTACCAGTTCTGTGGGCGTGGCTTGGTATGCGTGGCTTGGTGGGCGTGGCAGGGGAAGGTTACTGCAAAATCCCCATTTCCTCCCAATCAGCTGGAGCTCAGGAGGCAGAGAATAGATGGGGGCGGGGCCAGTCAGAGGTGGTATTTACCAGTTCTCTGAACTACTCAAAATTTCCGCTACCGGTTCTCCAGAACCTGCTGAATACCACCTCTGATACTTTTGCTTTATATATATATTAGCTTTTTATAATAAAATTGTTAGACGCCACATTTTCTATGCTTTTTAATCGACTGTACCCCACTGGCCTTATGCTGGTTTTTGACAGTAATAAAGACTTGATTTAATTCATTGGTGAGGCAGAACTCAAAGTGAACCAGAAACCAGCTGGATCACATCAGATCTCCATCCAGGAGAGCATCCAGTTCATAATTGTGATCCAGTATGTTAAAGGAGTTTCTAAGAGTGGTTAGAAAATCAGAGATTTCTTTTTTCCCCTTGGAAGGTGCATAATTCTGTAAAGCCAAGTGAGAGGACAGTTGATGGAAAGACAAATCAATCCATTTTTTCTCCCCAATTTCATTTCTGGCTGAAGATGGTGTTTCATGGGACCTGGCATGGAAATTCAGCAGATTGGAAATAGAAAAATAAAAATTTATCCAAATTGATTCCACACCTTACTGTACTTCTAGTCTACTTTTACTAGCCTGTTTTTCACATAGAGAAGGAAAGCTGGGATTTTCTCCCTTCTCTTAACAAAGCAAAATCCCCAACTTGAGCACAGATCAGCTAAATGGGAGCTGCAGTTCTGGATTGCATAGTACAGGTAGTCCTCAATTTACAGCCATAATTGAGCCCAAAATGTTGGTTGCTAAGCAAGACCTTTGTTAAGTGAGGTTTGCTCCATTTTACAACCTTTCTTGCCACTGTTGTTAAGTGAATCACTGCAGTTGTTAAGTTAGTAACACGTTGTTAAGTGAATCTGGCTTCCCCATTGACTTTGCTTGTCAGAAGGTCGCGAAAGGGATCATGTGACCCAGAGATGCTGCAACTTTATCATAAATATGAGCCAGTTGCCAAGAGTCTGAGTTTTGATCATGCGACCAAGAGGATACTGCAGTGATGGTAAATGTGAAAAATGGTCATAAGTCACTTTTTCCAATGCTGTTGTAACTTTGAATGGTCACTAAATGTACTGTTGTATAAATCGACGTACATCTGTAAAGAGAATAAAATTTTATCTGTATATGTGCTATAGTAAATGCTTCTTTCATGGTCCAATATTTTAAAAAATAGTTAGGATGCTGAAAAATCCATGGTAAGAAATTACATGTCCTTTGGGAATCTCCCTTCCCCCCTCATGCACAAACATACACCTGTTTTCTGGCTGTGTTTAACTTTTCTTTGGAACATATGATAACTGCATCTTTCTACAGTACTGAAGTTTCAAAACAAAAGGGGGAATATTCCCTTTTTCAAAATAATTTCTTTATTTTCCCTTGACTGCAGTTCTTGGCTAGCGAATTTGGGCAGCAGAGTGTCCAGTAAACAATTAGTACGAAGAGAACGTTTCTGCAGTGTTGTATATTCACACTCATGTTTGTCATGATTCAGCACCAGTACCCAACCATTCTCCCACACAAAGAGCCTTATTTTTACTCTGCAAAATTTACTCCTCTCCAGCACTCATCTCGGGATAAACAGAAACCAAACTAGAACAAGCAATGTGATCTGGCACAAGGAAAAAAAAAAAACCAATACAGGAAAAGGAAAAAAGCCTGTGCCTTAATTAACCATTCTTGCATTTGTTGACAATCTTGCATTTCTTTTATTTTAAATTGCATTTTATGAAAGTAAAATACTGCTCAAAGTATAAAACAAAACGAGTAAAGCACAGATCAAAAAGGAGAAGCCCACAAAACAAGGAAACGGCTCTTAGCGAGAGAACCAAAGTTTGCTGATTAAGAAAGGTTTTGCAATTTTTGCAACTCTGCAGGCTGAAGCATTTTGAACCACCCCAGGGGAGAATGCTGTTGAACTGGAGAGCAAAGACTACAGAGGCTTTCTTTGCCAGTATGTGTGGCCCAAAGATGAAGCACCCTTGTAATATTCATAATAGTTAGAGCTTTTTTTTTTTCAATCCAGTTGTCAATCAGTGGGGCTATTTAAAGCTCATGCATCTCACGATCTTCTTTGGATAGAATCTCTTGTAATACAGCTATGTACAGTTAGTCCTCGAGTTATGACTGGGTGCTTAGTAAACATTCAAAGTTACAAAGAACCTGAAAAAAGGAGATCCCAAAGTTGCTTTTTTTTCTGGAGGCAACTGGACTTCCTTCTTTTTTCTTTTGAAGACATTTTGCTTCTCATCCAAGAAGTTTTTTCAGCTCTGACAGGATAGTGTGGGAATGGAAGGATTTATATTCCTTGCAGACAGCTGGTCATTTGCATCCTTTTGGAGGGTCATTGAAGCACTTGGAGGTTTATCTGTGTCTGCAGTTTTCCCTCTGGAAATCCATTCCTACTCACACACCATTCAAAGGGTGTTCATCCCAAATTGTACGGCTAAAAGTCTGTAGAAATTCTCGTTGGTTTAATTTGCAGGTTCAGAGCTGAAGAAGCTTCTTGGATGAGAAGCAAAATGTTTTCAAAACAAAAAACAAGGAAGTCCAGTTGCGTCCAGAAAAAAAGCACCTTTGGGACAACCATGACTTGGATGGCTGAGAATCTCTACAGACTGAAAAAAGGGGACTTTACAACTCAGTTTGAAAATTCCAATGGTTAGGCCTCCTCCATGGTCATGTGACCGAACTTCAGTTGCTCAGCAACAAAACTGCATTGAGCGCCATTTGCAGTGCCCCGCAGTCACATGACCACATATTACAACAGTTTTGTGAAAACTTACTTCCTATTTTTTGGCATAATTGCATCTTTAGTGAACCATTCCTTCGCTTAATGACTATATTGTTCATTTAATGACCGCAGCAAAAAAAGGTCATAAAATTAGTTCAGTCATGGAACTGACTCATGTTACGATCATTATGACATATGAGTTAATGTACAAGCTCCATCATAGTTATATGTTATATGTCACGGTTATATGTCAAGGACTCATGTGTGCCTGTATCAATTTGAGTTTATCAGTTTCAATCCCACTTGCCATTCGTGAGATTCCTCAGAGGATCTGCAAAGATCCAGATCTGATTATCCAATAGATTATCCATTTGTAAACCACCATTATATTCAGCTGATGTAGGCATATTACATACTGTATCATGTTGGTGAAATCCAATTTTTTTCCCCTACCGGTTCTCTGGGCGTGGCTGGTGGGCGTGGCAGGGGAAGGATATTGCAAAATCTCATTCCCACCCCACTCTAGGGGAAGGATACTGCAAAATCTCCATTCCCTCCCCTCCTGGGGGAAGGATATTGCAAAATCCCCACTCCCACCCCACTCTGGGGCCAGCCAGAGGTGGTATTTGCCGGTTCTCTTAACTACTCAAAATTTCCGCTACCAGTTCTCCAGAACCTGTTAGAATCTGCTGGATTTCACTCCTGGTTTAGATTCAAAAACAAGAAATGTGGGGACGTAATATCCTTTATGGAGACGGATTTTTTTTTTCCCAAAAAAGAGCATCTGCAACATTTTAAGCTGCTTTCTTATTTATTTATTCTGTTTATATGACCACC